CAGGGGGAGAGCCTTCTCTGTGGCAGCTCCTGCCCTCTGGAATGACCTACCCCCCGACCTACGTACAGTTGCGGACCTGCGCCTTTTTCGCCGAGCCCTGAAGGCCCATCTATTCCGTGCGGCCGGCCTGGCGTAGTTTGGATTGTGTTTCAGTGGGGGGTTTTGTATGGGTGTGTTTTTAGAACAGGCCTATTATTCAGTTCGATTTTAAAACAGAAACTATTTATTTATTCGTGGTTTTTAGTATCGCCTGTTCACCGCCCTGAGTCCCGCAAGGGAGATAGGGCGGTATATAAATTTAATAAATAAATTTAATAAATAAATAAATAAATAAATAAATAAATGATGTATTAACCATTACTGCCTTGCTATTAGAATGCACACTGAATCCATTTTATTGGAGGAAAAATAGTGATGGGAAATAACATCAAATTCTTCATTTTTAATGATGGAAGTGATATCACAAGTGCATAGATTCAGAGAACAGTATTCTGTTCACCAGGGCCAAGGCACTATTTTAAGAAAGGATGTATGTTTGTGTGTATTTGTGTGTACAGGTAGTCCTCGACTTATGACAACCATTTTTTTTGTTGCTAAGCAAGGTGGTTGTTAAGCAAGTTGTGTCTCATTCCCACAGCGAGTTGTGTCTCTTTTCCCACAGTTATTAAGGAATCAGTTCAGTTGTTAAGTGAATTTGGCTTCCGTCATTGCTTGTTGGAAGCCGGCGGTGATCACCTGATCCCAGGAGAGTGCAACTGTCATAAATATAGGCCAATTCCAACCACCCAAATTTTGACCACATGACCATGGAGGATGCTGCAGTGATTGTAAGCATGAAAAATGGTCATAAGACACTTTTTTCAGTGCTGTTTTAACTTGGAATGGTCACTAATCAAATAGTTGTATGTCAAGGTCTAGCTGTGTACTAAGAGTCACAGGCATACATATAGATTTATCACTTAACTTTATGAACAGGAGCCAGTGTTTTCCCCATAGTTAGAGTTTATTGATTATATCATATGGATTAATTATGGACAGGAAAGAGCAGTAATTTGGTTTTTTTAAAAATATCCTCAAGTGGATACACTTTAAAGCAGGGGTCTTCAAACTTGGCCCTTTTATGACTTGTGGACTTCGACTCCCAGAATTCCTCAGCCAGGCACGCTGGCTGAGGAATTCTGGGAGTTGAAGTCCACAAGTCATAAAAGGGCCAAGTTTGAAGACCCCTGGTTTAAACTTTACATACTTTACATACAAATAAAATAAAAGAACTAGCTGTTTTCCTCATCCGGGGTTCTGTATTGAGGAGTTTTCTTTAAAATGGTAGAGCACTCATGTCTACAGCTTCTTCACCTGGCAACTGTTGCAATTCCACTTAAGAAAAATTTCACCCTTTTGATCCAAACCAGCCATTGATGTTTATCTCTCTTCCCTTAGATATGATGAAGAGGTGGCCCAAAGTGAAATGCCAGATCGAGATTTGCGAAGTCGCTCTGGACAGCCTGTTGGATGTAAGGGAAACCGAGCCAGAGATCCTGGAAAAGCAGGGTATCTTACTTGGAAGTAGTAGAATAAACTGAGGTGTGGTGTTTTTTTTTAAAAAAAAATCTGTGTGGATGTCTTTTAATGTAATTTATTTGCTTAATACTAGTCCAGAGAAAAGAATATTGATCAAAGATGAGAGGATAGAGGCATGTGCATATATTTCAAGTTGATCATTAGATATATTGCAGTTTTAACTGCATACTTATTATCATGCAAGATTCTTATGCTGCATGTTATAGTAGACACATGTAATGAGTTCATGCAAACAAAGTAGCATTTTAATAAAAGAACTCATTTCCAAGTCACGCACTTTCTTTGAAGTAATAACTGCTATCTCAAGCACTGCAACAGAAATATGCATTCCAAGATTAGTATATTTATTTCTCCCCCCTCCCGATTGTTCTAGAATTCTAAGGCAAACTGTTCAAAGCATATTTCCCTATTGCAAACTAATGTTAATATATTAGAAATTTTATTTCTTTATAATGCATACTGTTGTTCTCTTCAAAATTAAATATAAATAAAATAAAAAAATGACAAATATGTTTGGGTGAAAAGATATCTTTACTTTTCAATTGGGAATGCTATGAGAGGTTGATTGTGACAGTATATCACAAAGATCGATCTGCGTATAGGCCTTAAACAGAAACCTCTTTTCCCACAATTTGTTGCATTACTTCTACTGGCTAAAGACTAGAGTTGAATTCTTCAGTGGCTAATCTGGCAGGTTACACTAAAACGCTGAAGTGTTGCAGTAGTTTTGACAAATAAATATTGTACCTCTTAAAACATGGATTTTAGTCACACTATTATTTTTATTTAGAAGTACTGTATTTGTCTCTTAGGAACTGTCCTGTCACTGGAATCCAGTCGGAGGAAATAGATGAGCTGTGTGCAGGAAATACACCACTGTAGTAATGGGGGACTTCAAATACTCTGACATTAACTCTGCAGGTTATGCGAGATCAAACAAGTTCTTGACATGAATGAAGGAAATGTACATATCCCAGGATAATATTGCAGGATCCAGTCTGGGTCAGTCACCAGGACCAGAGGTTTAGTCCTCCAAGCTTTTGGGCTTGTGCTGGAGCCCATCCTCAGGGAACTTGAATTCCCTGAGGATGGGCTCCAGCACAAGTCTAAAAGCTCGGAAGAATAAACCTCTGGTCCAGGTAACTGACCCAGACTGGGTCCTGCAAGTTCCTGACATGTTTAGCTGACAACTTTGTCATACAAAAGGTAGACACAGGAGCAATAGGGACAGCTATACTGGACTTAATCTTACTAATAGGGATGATATGGTTGAGGAAGAAGTTGTAAGAACTTTGGGGAAGAGTGACCATATCATACTTGAATTCACCATAATGCAATCACAGATAACTAGTCAGACTAGTATTTTAGGCTTTAAGAGAGCTGATGTTAACAAGTTAATAGAGAGATTAGGAAGGATTTCATGAATGGAAATCCTACAAGGAAAAACAGTTCAAGATACTTGGGAAACACTGAAAAATGAGATAATGAAGGCCCAAGCAAAAACAATACCTCAGAGAAAGGAAAACAAAAGACATCACACAAGACCAGCATGGTTGCATAAAAAGTTCTCTGGCAAATTGAGCGATTAAAAAAGTCAAATGTAAAAAATGGAAAGGAGGGTACATAACTAAAAGAGAATACCAACAAGTAGTCTGAATCTGCAAGGAGGGAATCAGGAAGAGTAAGCACAGAATGAGCTAAAACTAGCAACTAAAGATAGTCCTTGAATTACAATAATTTGTTTAGTGACCATTCAAACATAGAGGCACTGAAAAAGTGACATGACTATTTTTCACACAACCGCTGCAACACCCCCACGTGATCAAAATTCAGATGCTTGGCAACTGGCTCATATTAATGATGGTTGCAGTGTCCTGGGGACATGCAACCTTCTGACAGGCAAAGTCAATGCGGAAGGCAGATTCACTTAATGACTGTGTTACTAACTTAACAACTGTAGTGATTCACTTAACTGTGGCAAGAAAGTTCATAAAATGAGACAAAACTCACTTAACATATGTTTCATTTAGCCATTTTGGGCTCAATTGTGGTTGTAAGAAGAGGACTACTTGTAATGCCAAGACTTTTTTCAGCCTAAGTGAAGGCTTTTAACTTTTCTCACTACTGAACTGCATTTTGTTGGATAGGGTCCAATGCTCAAGTCTGTCAACATCCTTCTGAATCTTGAAGCTATCTTCCAAAGTGTTAGCATTTCCCCCCACCTTGGTGTCATCTGCAGATTTTATGAGTTCCCCTCCTATTCCTTCATTTAGAACTGTTATGAAAATGTTGAAGAGCACTGGGCGCAAGACAAAAGTTAAGTACCCCACTTCATGCTTCCCTCCCTGTGGATGTAATTTCACTGAAGACTACACAATGAGTGTGATTGGTCAACCAATTGTGAATCCATCTGGTGATGGTGCTATCATATATATACAGGGCTTTTTTTTGTCATAGAACACCCAGAACGGAGTTCCGGCACCTTTTTTGGATGGAACCTTGTAGGGTAGGCAAGGTGGGTTGTATGACGTGAGTTCCGGCATCTTTTTTGGATGGAACCTTGTAGGGTAGGCAAGGTGGGTTGTATGACGTGTGTGAGTTCCGGCACTTTTTTTTTTTTTTTTAACAAAAAAAGCACTGTATATATTTCAGACATATAGCATATATCAAATCATTTATATATCCAAATTTTCCTAAAATCAGACTTCTGCCACTATAACTATGGCAACCAGAGAGATTGCCATTTCAAGGAGAAACAATCTTGTCCTTTAAGGGTTCCCATATAAAGTGTATTCCAGTAATCCACTCAGGAGGTAACCAAATCTTGTGTGACTGTGTTCGTTTAATAAAATCTCGGAACGTGTGCAATTGGTTAGGTATTATCTGTGCCATACCAACTTCCTTTGCTTGCTTGCTGGGTAGGGATGCCTCCTGAAATGTAAGCCTGAGTAGAATGTTTCATTTTGTCCTGAAATGGGCTCCATTGGCTTCTCTGTAGCTTTCTGGAACGGCTTGATTGGGCCTCTCATCTAAATCAGGAGTGGCCCGTGCTTAGCTCCCGAGCCCCGGTCAAGTCTGGTGCTCCCAACTGCCGCACTTCGAATCTATGTATTGTCTCCATACCATCCCGAATGAAGAAGGAGGGATTGTTTTTTGCCACTCTTCCTACCTCAGTGTTTCTCAACCTTGACAATTTTAAGGCATGTGGACTTCAACTCCCAGAATTCCACAGCCAGCATTGCTGGCTGTGGAATTCTGGGAGTTGAAGTCCACATGCCTTAAAATTGTCAAGGTTGAGAAACACTGTACCTACCTGAATGAAAGTAAAAATCATGGATCTCATTGGCTAAACAGAGGAGGCGGGATCGTTACAAGCTTGGAAAAGGGATCCAATGGAAGAAAACCGCTCTAGCTCCGGGTGGAGCCCTTGGTGATGTCTAGTTTGGAAGTTTGCTTGCAGGCGCGTCGTTACCCGTCACCTTTGCTTTCGTTACCTAACCGGGTCACAAAACACGTACAGGGGGGAAGGGGACGAAGGGGTAGAATTATATAACATTTGGTGTATTTATAAATATAATGTAAATGTTTGTCTTTTAAGAAGAGGAGATGATCGGCTAGTACCCCTAAACTGCATCCGAGGTGGTGGAAAAGAAGGTGATGGGATGTGCAGGATAGTTGGAAAGGAGGAAAGAGGAGAGGTCGTGGTTAAGAGGGGGAGAGCTGCGCAAGACGGGAGGTTGAGTGAGGAAGGGAGGTAGGAAAGAGGGAGGAAGGAGGAGTGGTGGTAGTTTGGGAGGAGGAAGGTGTGGTAAGTGGAAGAGGGTGGCGCGGCTGGGGGACACCGGACACGTCCGTGAATGTAGTGATCAGTGTTATTTCTTTTGGTTGATATTGTGATAAAAGATCTTATGTTTTTGTTTTTCAATTGAAAAATTAATAAAAATTTTAATTAAAAAAAAGAGGGGGAGGAAGGAAGAGGG